GACCACGTCGCCCGGCCTCAAAGACTCCCATTCCCTACGGACAGGCACCTGCAAACGACTGACATCCAGAACGATTTCTGCCCTTACGTAGGCGGGGTGTTCTTCACCGACCTTGGAGGGAGCAACGTCCACAATGCCCGGCGCATTGATGGGTATAGACATCCTGGAAAAGCCACCAAACTTTGTGTTAACACCCTTTCCTCTGGGCTGTACGCGCTTGACCACGTCCTCCATATCTTTTCGGATGCCGTAGAAGGATTCAGCGCGGTACAGAATGTACGACCTCCACAGAAAGTCACCCATAGTTAGGTATTGCAAGTTCAACTTGGGTATCGCCAGAGGCCTCGAGCCGTTGTAAGACTCGTTGCGAAGGAAGGTCGTTTCGTACAGGATCTTTTCTGTGGGGAATACTGGCATATCGCGCACGTCGTCCTTGAAGGTAGGCCTCTGCTCGACGAGCGAGACCAGGGTCTCCATGTAGAAAGTCCTGTCCCGTACCAGAAAGGTTGTGCTTGGGTACTCGGTTCGGAGCCCCATCAGGGAGCACAGCTCTTTCAGCTCATCGTCATTCAACGTGCGCAGGTGGCCGTCCAGCTCTTCCCGGTTTCCAATGCTGCCAAAGTTGGCAAGAGCCATTAACTGTAGCTTTTCTTGGAACGTAGCGTAGCCTACCCGTTGCAATTTCGCTAGGATGTCGTAGTGTTGCTGATCGTACTCCAACTTGGTCAGCTGCTTGCCTGTCTGGTCCTCGATCGCGAAGAAAGTGAAGTGACTGAGCAAGCTGTAGAGGTCACGGAACAGGCCGTTATCTTCATCGGTGTACATGGGTGAGAGTCGAATTGCTGGGAGCAGGTTCAGGTCCTGCAACAGCGTGTTTACGTATCTCCGTGTTGGCAGCTGACTTTGCAGATCGGTGAGAAGCTCCATGAAGCGCTCACAATACGCCAGATTATCGCTCATCTCTTGCTTTGTGTTGCTGTTGTAAAGGCGGTCCAAGAAGTCTAGCACAAGTGTGTACAACCACGAACGTTCGAAGCGCAGCCTGGCCTGCAGCGTCTCGTCTGCAGCGTCGAAGCGCTTGGAGGATGCCCGCCACGCCTTGCGCAACATCTGATGCTCCTCAAAGTGCTGCTCACGTGCTGTGTCCGAGTGTAGGTGGTGCCAGATGGATATGCCGACCAGAGGCGCGCACTCTTTGCGCACGAGACCACTGTCGAGTGATTGGAAGGCGCCGATGACGAAGGAAACTAGCTGCGTGCGAATCTTCATGGGCTGCGAGGGGTCGACTGTCATGGACAGTATGCGGCGAAAGAAGGTGGAGAAGTCGGCGGGCTTGCTTGTGAAGTGGTCTGTCGCAGATTAGCGCTTTTGCTGCGGTGGCAGAGTGGTGCAGGGCATCATACCCCAAGATGGCAGATTTTCCCTCCTCTTGACATTGACCATCAGCGCCAGCAGCAGGTGGTGGTAGTTGGAGGCATCCTCGGTGAAGCCAGGCCATAGGTATCGCTCCAGCAGCTGCAGGTTCTCCAGCACGAGGAGTGACGAGTAGGCAAAGTCGACGTTCTCGAGCTCATCCCACAGCTCTTTCTTGACGACATCTGGGCGCACTTTGGGCGTCTTCTTCGCGGCGAGCCAGTTCTTGCGCGCTACCTGCGCAAAGTGGTTCTCGCCGTGCAGGTCGGCGACGGTAGGACGGGCGTGCACCATGGCCGAGTCGGAGGCCGCGCCGGACGAGGCTCCCTGTATGTCTTCCATCTCTTGTGTGTGCAGAGGCTGCGATTAAGGGCGGGGTCGAGGGGCACCGATCACAGGGCGCGCAAGCATTGCTGGTCGCGACTGTCGCGCGTTGCAGGTGGACTTTGTGCTTGGTACTTCGCAGGGCCAAGCTTGGCGTTCAAAAGTTAAGCTCTGCTCTGCGGGCAATGGCGTCGGCGGTTGAGCTCGGGCCCCGTCTGCAGCACAACCTCACTACTCGCCAACACCTCCGCAGCTCGCAGCCCGCCAGCAACCCACCATGTCTTCGCAGGACGCCGCTGTCAGGCACCAGGCCGTCGTGCCGGACAAGGTCCCCAATGGAGAGTACCCAGTAAGCCATTGCGGCCCCAGACGATGCGCAATGCGTGCACACGGCTAACACGCTGCAGCTCATCGACAACGACCCGTATGCCCCCCAACCCCTCTGCGCCCCTCGACCGACTGCGCGCACGTGCTGACAAGACCTGAAGACATCTCTCGCGCGTGCTGCGCTACGCCCGCCCCTCGGACTGGCTCTACGGCGCGGCAGTCGGCGCCATCAGCCCCGGTCTGATGCTGTACTGGGAGCGAGTCTCGCCCTCGTTCGTCGGCAAGGGTGGATTTGCGCCCGTCATGCGCCTGAGCGGTGCTGTCGGTGTCGCCGGAGCCGTCATCTTCGCCTACTCGAGGTCGACATGTACGTGTGAGGTGGCATTACATCCTCAATTGGCCTGTGTATGATTGGCCGGACGTGTGCTAACAAGGAGACAGCCCGTTTCTACGGCGCGCGCGAGAACCGCCGCGAGGTCGAGATGGACATGCGCGAGATGGTCGACAAGGTCAAGAAGGGGGAGCCGCTCTACGGCAAGACCGAGATGACCGAGTACATGCAGGGCGTTGCACACAGGAACTCGCGCTACGCAGCCACATTTGCCCACGTCATGCCGTGGCCCAACCTGGTCAACCACCCTTACCACGGCGTCGACACGGCAAAGTACTACCGCCAGGCCGAGTTGGAGCTGGAGCAGGAGAAGAACGTCCCTGCCAGGCGCTAGAATATATCCATGCATAGAAAAGAGAAAAAAAACATCAGGGCGCTTTCCTTGGGTCACAGCAGCTGTACATAAGTCTCAAAGGGCCAGCACAGGATGTATCAACATGGTTTCTTTGGTCCGCACTTCCACCCCAAAATCTCGCTCTGCATTCATGTTGAATTGACACACCTACGAACTCGCCAAACTTCCCATCACTCTCTCCTGCCCAAACCTGTGCATCTTAAGCCTACTCATCCAATCATCCCTATTGATATACCCGCCACAAATCCGCCTCTTACCCGTAAACTCGCTCCTCCCGTGCAGCACTCTCCAGTTATCAAAGATCAACACCCGTCCCGGTGTCAACTGCGCCCAGTACTCATTCTCCTTCTTTTTGAGCAGCGCATCGAACTTGCGCGCCGCGTCATACCAGACCCCGACCTCGTCAATCGGCAGCTCTATGCTCGCCCTGTCCGACGAGTTCCAGCGGACGCGCAGCAAGTCGCCCGTCGCCGGATCGTGCTCGAGCACAGGGAAGCCGCGGTACGGCTGTATGCTGATGCCCTCGTTTCCGGATGCGTGGGCGTGCACATTCACCGTGCTCAGAATGCGGTACGCTTCCCTGTCCTGCTGGGACAGTTCTTCTGCGACCTTGAAGCCGTCGACGAGCAGCGAGGCGCCGCCAGAGCCGTCCGTGTGCGATAGCAGGTGGAACGCCTGCAGGCCGGCTGGGTCCGAGAAGTACGTGTTGTCTGTGTGCGCTTCGAGTGCGATGTTGGTGTATGCTGTGTCCTTGGAGGCTAGGTCCGCGGTGAAGTCGTAGAAGCCGCCGTAGTGCGTCTCGCGGATGAAGGCGATGCGGCGCAGCAGTGCTTCGGTGGGCGCTGGGGTGTCAAAGGGGGTGCCATCAACGTAGCAGAAGCCGTACTTGCGCTAAGTGCTTGTTAATTCGCTGTTTGAAGATAATGCCATACTTCGTAGGACGTACTATGTTCTCGAGTACTGTGCCAGTGGCCTCCTCGTCATGGAAGGGTTGGAGAGGCGGATTAGATGCAATGGATGAGTCCCAGAGCCGTATGTCCATCAGACCTTGACGCATGATGGACCTTTTCTCATAGCTTCTAGTAGTTTGTGCTAGGAACGAATGACTGTACTTGCTCGCATGACCGTCACTCCACACAATATCGATGTCTTTTTCACTCCCACCTTTAGCATCGACGACAGAGGCGGATTTGATAGCCAGGTCTTTTGGAATAGCAAAGGTATCCTGGAGTCTTTGCTTGGTCGCTTCGTGCATGCAGCTGCTACATTGGCAATTGTCTCTCAGCCAGATGTTGGGGATCTTTTTGCCGCCAACAACGACCTTTCCGTCTTCAATGGTAAACCTTGCCTCGTCCGGGGACAGCTGAGTGGTTGCTCCCTGGCGAACTCGTAGAGGGCCTCTGATTGTGTTGCTCAGGGTCCGCTGATGACCATACAGTACTCTGAGTTCGTTATGGAGTTTGCGTAAGGCTACACTGGTCTCTTTGGATTTGTTCAACCTCTCGTTGCCTACGAGTTTGCTGAGTTCTGGAGTGCGAAGGAAACGATACTGTTTCAATTGGCGCTTTAGGTCACCAGCTGGTTTGGACACATCGCCCGTCGATTCAGTTGATGTTGGTACTCCATTGTTTACTTCAGCCACTGTGGACTGGAGGCACATGTGACTGCTTGAGAACGGCTATTATGAAATATCAATATATGATGCCACGAGCGTGGCAATCATACTAACCTGAGCACGTCTCGTGACATCGCGAAGGCTTCGCGAACATCGGATGGTTTGCATCGCAGACATGACGCGTATAACAAAGAGGCGACACTCTAATTTGAAAAGACAGGCAGATAGCCGACGTACAAGAAATAGAACGGTATAGTGTGCTACTGCAGAAGAACGTGAGGTCAGGAAGGAGATGATATCGGCTCGGATAACAGGACATGGAACACGACCTCCGAGGTAGGCCTCTCCCGCATTGCACAAAAAGCCGGCTATAAGCCAACAACAACGTTGCAAGACTCTAGTGGCTTCTCTGGAACTCAGACAGCAGTGATAAATATACTAAGGGCCTCTAGCAATAGCGTTTGACGGTCTGTGGCTGAGAAAGTGTAGCTGGCTGTTTTTGCATTCTCGAAGAGCATGAAAGCAGAAAGGCAAAAAAGCAACAGACAGCAAAAAGAGCAAAAAAGGAACAAAAACGACACCAGAGGGACTCGAACCCTCAATCTTTGCCATAGTCTACGACCGGAAAGCAACGCCTTACCATTAGGCCATGGTGCCATGTGATTCGATGGAAATTCCGAGCTATATTTGACCTATATTGACCATAAATATTGAAGGCTGTCCTCAGTTCTTAGAGCATCTGGTATCACCATCAAGGAAGTTGCGCGGTCAGCCGGAGATGCATAGAGAATTCTGGGTAGGTACCAGCGAAGCTTTGCCCCGCTTTAGCACTAGTACAATAGAGCAGGGCAACGGGGGCTGATCGTGGCCTGCTTCAGAGAGAGAAAATCGAAGGAACTGTATGCACATCGGCAATAGGTTCATTTCAAAGAGTGCAAGACTAAGTTCACAGAACAACACGAAAACTTGATACCGGACACTTTCAGCATTCAATGTAGCGGACTTTATGCGAACTCTCGTCAAATCAGGGAGAGCGTGGAGCGTAAATACTACAACAAAGAGTCTGGATCTCTACAGAGAGCCTGAGTATTTACATGACATCAAGCACGATTGTAGCTGCTCCATCGTTGCTTGAAGTTATTGAGTGAGCGTGGGTCTGGATCGGGAAGCTTCCAAACGCGCCAAGACCGGAGTAATCGCGGGAGCTTCACGTTCGTCACCCATAGCTGCCTCCCAAACAGCTTTACATCAACACCCCACCAACCCAACCGATCCACCAGCGGCACCTCCTCCAGTCGCTCTAGCATAACGTATTTCACCAGCACGCCGTTCGTTTACAACTCCATCCAACATCAACCCCGCCTCCTACCGCCACCATGTCCACACTTGAGGACCTTGACGACCTTGAGCGCCACGAGAAGGAAGAGAAGAAGGACGAAGACAAGAAGAAGGATGGCGATGCCGGCAAGGATGGAAAGAAGGCCGATGGCGACGCGGACATGGAGGACGCCGAACCAGAGGAGGAGCCACTTGACGAGGAGATCCTGAACTCCAGCACACGAGACATTGTCGCGCGGAGACGGTTACTGGAGAACGACATGCGCATCATGAAGAGCGAGTTCCAGAGGCTTACGCATGAGAAGGCGTCTATGAACGAGAAGATTAAGGACAACCTAGACAAGATCGAGAACAACAGGTATGTTTACTGTCCGCAGTTGCGGGCGCGGCAGGTGAAGGTGACGGGACCAGGCTAACATTATAAGGCAACTGCCGTATCTCGTTGGTAACGTTGTTGAGATACTCGATTTGGACGTCACAGCAGAAGCCGCCGAGGAGGGGGCGAACATCGACCTGGACGCCACCCGTGTAGGCAAGTCAGCAGTCATCAAGACGTCTACGAGACAAACCATCTTCTTGCCCCTCATCGGACTAGTAGACCACGAAAAGCTCAAGCCCGGCGACCTGATTGGTGTGAATAAGGATTCGTACCTTGTGCTCGACACACTCCCTGCTGAGTACGACAGCCGAGTGAAGGCTATGGAGGTCGACGAGAAGCCGACGGAGAAGTACACAGATGTCGGTGGTCTAGACAAGCAGATCGAAGAGCTAGTCGAGGCCGTCGTCTGGCCCATGAAGGAGGCTGAGCGATTCAAGAAGATCGGTATCAAGGCACCAAAGGGTATGTTTACACTGCCATATTCACTGCAACCTTTGCTAACAGACACAGGCGCGCTTATGTACGGCCCTCCTGGTACCGGAAAGACTCTCCTCGCACGAGCATGTGCCGCCCAGACTGACGCCACCTTCCTCAAGCTCGCGGGCCCACAACTGGTGCAGATGTTCATAGGAGACGGAGCAAAGCTGGTCCGCGACTGCTTCGCTCTTGCCAAGGAGAAGGCGCCCTCAATCATCTTCATCGACGAACTCGATGCCGTCGGCACAAAACGTTTCGACTCGGAGAAGTCCGGTGACCGAGAAGTTCAGCGAACCATGTTGGAGCTTCTCAACCAGCTCGACGGTTTTGCATCTGACGACCGTGTCAAGGTGCTTGCTGCGACTAACCGCGTCGATGTCTTGGACCCCGCTCTGCTTCGTTCCGGTCGTCTGGACAGGAAAATCGAGTTTCCGCTGCCCAACGAGGAGGCCCGCGCCCAGATTCTGCGCATTCACTCGCGAAAGATGACTGTTGATGAGGGTGTCAACTGGCAGGAGTTGGCCCGCAGTACCGACGAGTTCGGTGGTGCGCAGCTGAAAGCTGTCTGTGTCGAGGCTGGTATGATTGCTTTGCGATCAGGTCAGCACAAGATCAGCCACGAGCACTACGTCGATGCCATCGCTGAAGTGCAGGCGAAGAAGAAGGACACCGTCAACTTCTACGCGTAAGAATGCATGGTTTGGTCTGCATTGACTGGAAGCTTGCACATGCTGTAGTGCTGCGCCTGTACTACAAGATAGAGTTCGTCACGACATCACAAATCTAATGACATGGTTTCGTCCAAGCAGCACCATCAACCATGTGAAGTCCTTAAGGAGAAGTATCGACAGTCGTTCATCGTGTACAGTGGACTTCACTTCGCTTACAGTGAGGTTTCGACCGCCACGTTCCGTGATACAACTACAGTTTGAATTGAATGTCCGATACAGATACGTGCACGACATCTAGCCTCCGTTGACATTCCAGTTGCGCACGATTCTCAGAGATCTCGTGAACTGTCCAGCTCCATGACTTCATTCGTATACTTGCTGCCCCACGTAAGTATTTGCAAGACAAGCCGGCCAGTTCGTTGTACTTGTGTCCTGATGCGACCTCCCCTTGTTTCATATCGTCGTCTGCATCTTCGCACCCGCTCTCAGAACCTCGAATCAACAGCATTCAAGAATGCGGTCTCGCCCAACCCGTCAGACCTGTCTGCTGTTCCATGCAGCTCGCCGATGTGCTCACGCATATCAGCGGGCTTTGTATCTTCGTTCCTGTTCCAGCCTTTGCCCTTGAAAAGATTGGCAAAGCTAGCCTTGCGAGGCGTCAGCTTCCGTACGGCTCGTCCAATGGCTCCTCTGGGAGATGATTCCTCGGGCTTACGTAGTGATGGTGGAAGATCGTGCTTGGTGTCGAGCATCTTGTGATCTTTCCGATATTGATACTCGAACTCCTGATCGGTTGTCAGCAGAGTTCTCCAACTTTCGAAGTACTCGGCAGCCAAAGAAATTGAAACATACGTGGAGGCTATCTGCAGCCTGTGCAGAATCACACAAATCCCTGAGCTGCATGAAGATCAAGATGGCGGCCTTCTTCTCGTCATCTAGACTGCAATGCCTCAGTGGTCCCTCTTCTTCAAGCTTATTTTCGGAGTTTAGTAACACCATCATAGCTTCTGTGCGCCACTGATCATAGCGAGACTGAAATCGGCCCGCCCAGTACAATGGTGGCATGTAGTCTTTGACCTGTACACGCGTGATGTAGTTAGCATTGTTTGGGTAAAAACACTCAGAAATGGACCAGTGTCGTTGAACTGGCAGGTATGCTATCAGTCGTTTCGCGCATGTGACCAAGGCTGGCGGCTCAGTCGGCCGAGGGCGGAGTTTTGCTATAACTGGCGGCAACGTTACCGAGGTATTCGAAGCCGTGGAAGATGCATTTGGTCCACCATGATCATTAAAGGCCTTGTCTATGGGAGTGACGCCCGTATCTTGGTCACAAGTTGATTCTTGAGCTTCGTTGGTATGGTCTTCACCCTTGGCATTCTTTGCAACTTCGGAAGTAGTCATCACTACAGAGGCAGACTCAGACTTTGACGACTCAACTTCTGACGACTTCTGGGTCGAAGCTATGTCGAGGAGTAAAGACCTGCCAGACATGCGGAACTGGTCCGAGGACATTGGGAAGCGGCGGTGCAGGTTCAATGCTGATAGTGATGTGTACTGATGCGAGACAGAATGGATGGATTTGGAAGATGGAGGGAGTTTATACTGATCTGGTACAGACGGCAATGGAGGAGGTACACATCGTTTTCCAGAATGGTGAAATGTGGAGGAACGTGGAACTCTTCTCACCTGATGAATTGCAGTCGCAAATAGCTTGGACGACCCCCAAACACCACCCAGTCCATTTGGCGTCCCGAGGGTTCTTCTTTGTGTGTCATCATCAGGGTTCAATTGAAGTGCCGCAAGAAGTGGCTCCTCGGGAACAATAGTCGAAAGCGTAGCCTTCAGAGGGCTTTTTGGGCGAGGTCGGGCAACACGTGTTACATCCGATGGACGAGGTGAATCTGGCCTTATCGATTCACTTTGTCCGTTCCTATGTCTGCCAGCGACTGTAGCTTGCATCGAGTGCGAACTGAGCTGTTTGACATTGCTTGACGGTGCTGTGTAGCTCAAACGTTTGTTCTCAAGCGGAACGCCTGGCCCGAACGATCTTTTGTTGGACGTTGCAGAAGGTACAGATAAACTCATCCGCTTTGCTGTTTGGTCCTGAAACTGCGACTGCCTTTGAGCTACACGCTTATTTGTCGGTATATTCTCCGCTAGGGCCGGCTTCAGAATTGTAGAAGAAGCAAAATACCGCTTGAGTTCTGTTCTTCTGGGTGCCATATAGCCTGCAGTATGGCTTGTACCAACCGCCTTTGCAAGATTCGGAGTCGTACGTGAGCGTGTTGCAACTTTGGATGGGGGATCATGGACGTTTGTCAATGAATGACGATCCGCTGCACTTCTCACATGCAGTGGTGAGATATTGGGCAGATACTGACGTGGACTGGAGCCTCGACGACTCGATTGCGGCGGACTCGGGGTAGGTATCCTGGAGGGCGCGTAGATATTTGGATCTGACATGGCGGTGTCCTGTGGCGGCGTGGCCAGCTCGTCAAGTTCCGCAACAGAACTGGCTTCGGCGTCAGTCTTAACTGGGCGTGGTATGTAACTGAAGGTGCGCGATCGAGGTAGTTGTCTAGGTGCATGAACGTCTTCGCTTGTCGTTGCTTCGTCCTGCGACGAGGTAGGTGGTTCACTGCAAGGTACCAGTAACGTAGACTCGGCCTGAAGTGAAAGCAGATCATTATGGTTCAAGATTGCGGTGGAGTAGTCGTTGGTGCCGGGTATGGTCAATGCCCATGAAGCGTTGCTAGAGGGCTGCCGTCCAGGCACACTCTTCCGTTGTGTGA